GAAATTGGGGAATGGCGGAGGAGAGGACAGTCGTGCTGCGGTTGCCGCCCCCTCTTATCCACCCCCCGCCGCTCCCCGCCACCGATCACCGTCGCGCGCACATGCAGCCTTGGAAAACGTTATATGGCAAATATAACCACTTTTGGTGTAGACGGTCGTAACCAATGGAAAACGGCTCGCACACGCGCACGGCTCGCCATGTACCGACGGTGCCATGATCGTGCCAACGTCGCCAAAATGTAGATACGTGTAATATGGTGCGAGATTCGGTCCTCCTTTTGCCTAGCCAATGTACTCACAGCTTTTACGCGCACACGTGTGATGCTTGGGCGTATATAAGCTTATGACTTTCGGATCGATCAACACATGTTAGTCTTATTATGCTATTTACGTATGCGTATCGTCCGCTTTCACCGCCAACATACTTTCGTATCACTCGCATTGTATTATAGCGACGCAAACACGAGAAGCAGTAATTCATTGCATAAAATTTGCAAATGAAAGCTTTTACCGATTAATTGAATGATTAAAGCTTTTAGCAACCGAGTTAATTGCGTATTATTAAAGCTGCGCTACTTCTTATCGACAGTAAATCATCTAATCATTATTAAGCATACAAAAGTATGCTGGAAAAATATTCAAATAAATCGTCGAATTTCCATAAATTTCATTTTAAATGCACACAAATAGGCACCCGAGTACCCATATAATAAGAGGAATATTTATCGGTAAAATATTTCACGAATCTCATTCTCTTGTTATATATAAAATAGAAAAATAATCCTCTGAAAAATTTATTCCATGATAATTTGCGATCATTTTCAAGATTAATTTTCAGCCACAATGTCCACAATAGTAGTTTTTTTTTTTTTTTTTTTCATTTTCATCTTATACTATGCAAATTTGATGTTTTATTTGAAAGACTTGAGAAGTAGAATAGCCATTATTCGATAGTTGTTGAAAATTTTTTTACACATTGAGGAAGAAAATTGAGCAACATTTGCTATAATATTCGCAGGTAGAATTCATAAAACGTATAATCTGTCATAGTCGAAGTTAATATCTAATATTATCCGGAATATATTTTTCGGCAGTGTTGCAAGCTTACGTGAGCGTTAAGGTGCGCACGTGCGCAGCAATCGTCATGTTGCCGATTTTAAAACTCCTTGAGGCGCAATTGGAAAACTCGGAAAAATCATCAGAGCGACTCGGAAAGTTTGAGATAGAAGATAGATAGATGAAAGAGAGAGAGAGAGAGAGAGAGAGAGAGAGAGAGAGAGAGAGAGTGCGCGCAAGCATCGCGTCGCGCCTCTCGGAGCGTGAAATGGCCGAGTTAAGCATCTGCACGCCCCAGCTCGGATCGCTGATCCGTGTAAACGGTCTACCAAAAATCGTTTATTCCCTCCCGCGCATCCCTACGAGTCCACGGGCTGCCAACCGAAATAAAGGGATTATCTTACGGAGCTCTCGCTACTTCCCAAAGCGCCTCCGATCGTTAAGCCCGTCCAGCGTCCTGGAATGGAACACGATCCAGCGCGCCTTTTTGACCGATGCGCAGTAAATAGAAATTGTCACTCGTTATACACAAACAATGTTTTGTGACTTATGTATAAAGGTCCCAGACAAGAGAGAAGTGGCAGATGATAAGTGAGATGGGTGTGTTACGTAAGAAGGTTTGATCGGCATTTTTCTCTCGTTTTCTTATTCCTTTGTCAGCGAAAGATCCGCTGCGGAAGACATAAATTTGAACGACGAGCGACCACATTGTCTTGTTTAGACTATTATTAATTTAAAATTACCTTTGCGATATATCACAATAATGTTTGTTCGAGAGAAGAATTTACTAAGTGGATTAGGAAATAAAAATCTAATGTCATCGTTTAGCGATGTAAGTGTCGTTTAAAGGCCATGCCAAACGTTTTATGTGCTTTAGTTTCGCAATTTCATTCGCCAAGCGCTTACATAATTTATTTATAGTATATTTTATCTATTTACTACACGTAACCGTTTACTATCTAACTTTTACGTGGCATACTTCGTAGGTGTGGATTATGTTAATCTTCAAGATTCCACTGTACAGTTTGATAAATAATAATATTGCGGAATCATATGAATAAAGTCTAATCTAAGTTAATGTACGATTGGGTTTTCAATGGCAAAAAAGATCATAAAAAGCGAAAATTGTCGGCAAAAATATGTGTGCTGCGAAAGAATTACTTTCAAAATTATTTTGTACTGCCGTTGAAATACAAACATTTACTATAAGTTGATATTCGTTAGATAAAACGTATAACTCCCGAATATATTAAATTTCAATTAGACGTTAAAATCGTTTGTGCAATTGACTCAAAAAATAAAAAATTTAACAAAGTAAAATCCAAAACAAAAGAAAACAAATAATAAGAAAAAGTAAAAACTTTATAATGATCGACATTGATAATTTATTTTACTTTTTGTCATTGGGATTATAAGGAAAAGTTGAGAAAAGAGTTTTTCCCCAAAATTTTGCTGAACTTTAAATAAACAATTTTACTTATTCATTTACGAAGCAAAGCTCAGCATTGGCTTTCTCCCAACAAAATGTTTGACTTGCCGAACAAACTCCACGTATATTTAATAAACTTTCCGCATCTATATCTGTATCAAATGACTTTATTAACTCTTTAATAAGCCTGTGGTTTATCAGTGTTGTGAAGAAAAATTACACATGTCGCCACTAATCCATAACCACTTGAAGCAAAGTTAAATCTTAAAGTTAAAAAATTTAAAGAGATAAAATTCGATAGTAACAAAGTATTATCAAATGCACACTTATTATCATGGCTACACTCGAATGCCTCCATTATTATAAAATGCTATTGGGGAATGTCACGCATACTGCATTAGCCCCTTTAACAGAACATCTATAATTAGAGGAGGCGAGATGAAATATTTGTCGAGTTATTTAAAGAAACGGAGTATTGACGCGTCGACTCGCAGGGGACTATACAGTCTCTCGCAATTCTAATTAGAACGACAATGGTCGCATAATCAGCAGCTCGCAACTAAATAATGGGGGGTGGGGGGTGGGGGTGGGGAGACGCAAGCCTTGCTCTTGGCACAAGGGAAACGTATTGGACAGGATGGTCGGGGGTAGGCGTTAGCCATTGGCGTAAGAGGGGCATTCGGTTAGAATTCGAATAAGGTAAAGACTCTCTCTCGCGCGCGCGCGCGCGCGCACACACGCACAGCGCTCGTTCGCCACATCGCGCTTCTTTTTTAGCACCGAGAGGAGAAAAGACGCTTCCCGAGGCGTGAAATGGCTGCGTTAACCACTTGCCGTCTCTCATCCCTTCCGCGCGAGATACAGCTGAAAGAGAACGAGAATAAAGAGGGAGTGAAAGGAAGGGGCGGACGCTCTCAACGACCCCCCGGCTCGTCCCCAAATGTTTGGAAGCGGCTCTTTCGCGCCACCAGACTCGTAATATCCTCCTGAATCTTCGCAGCCGCTCCCTCCTCCCGCGCCGGCGAAGATCTCCGAGAGGTAAGATAAAAGTTATGCGCACCGCTATGCACGAGGGAGTCGTACATCAGCCGTCGGACGTCTGCGGGGACGTGAGCTCGCGACCGCGCGCACAGGCCAGCGAACCCCGTTCCGAGTTTATATCTGTAGACGCCTCGCGCGCACGTGTGCACCTCTCGCGCAGCTCGATCTCTCTTTTGCTCCGCTTTCATCCGAAAAGCGCCCTCTCTCGCTCCTCCCCCTCCTCCACCATCTCATCCGCCACCTCCGCCTCCTTCTCCGAGCGCGCGTATCTCCGTGCTATCTCCGAGTCCCAGCCACGTCGCGAGTAGAGTCGGAGATGCCCCCGCCCCCCATCCACCCGCCACCGCCCCGCCACATCTCCCCATCGCTACTACCCCACCCTGTAGCGAATAAATATATTCGTCCAATAAATCATTGGGGATCGCGCGCGAGCGCGCGCGCCAAAGAAAGGCCAAAGGGAGAGGTAGGGAAATAGATAGATAGATACTGAGAGAGAGAGAGAGAGAGAGAGAGAGAGAGAGCGAATGAGGATCCTCGGTGCTTCTGTAGCTTGCGTGAAAAAAAACTTCCGTATGCATCAAACGCGCTATGCTGCTGCATCTGCGATCGAGGCTAAACCGAATATGGAAATTAGATTCATTTTAAAGGGAGCTCGAGCGAACGATGAATTTTGATAATGACATTGTTCATGTAGCATGGTAAAGGATAATTTGACGAATGTCTTTAATTCGTTGACGGAGATCAAGCATCGAGGACGAATTTACAACGTTTTGTATGCAAAGTCGACAAGGCGATTCTTCCCGAAAAATTGCTAGTAATTCTTCCGCGTGCGTCTTTAAATATTACCGCGCACATATAACAATCACTAGCCGTTGAAATCTGATGCAGCTCTTAGTCATCCATCAACTTTTCTTCTTCTTCTTCTTCTTCTTCTTCTTTTTCTTCCTCTCCTTCTTCTTTTTCATTTTCTTTATCTTTGTCTTTTTGTTCGATTAAATGTTGATTTTCTAGTGTTGCAAGGTGCATTTAACGATCACAAGCGCGTGAGTGGATATTATCAAACGTCGACCAATTGAATTCAAAGGAGAATAATCGTCGACATAAAACTATAATACAGTTTTAATTTCAATTACACTATAATCATATTACGCAGTCGCTGGATCAGACATTAAATAAATTTTAAACGACCGATAAACTATAAGTGACAAGCTAAATAGTACGTTGCAGTCAACTTTGTACACATACACGCGAAATCACTACTTCGTACAATATGTGCTACGTAACAGTATTGGGCATACAAAACTTTATCAACATAAAACTTGGTTTGCTTCTATAATCGTCCCATCGAGGGAAAGGCTTTTCGCGCGCGTATTTCAGTGCGCCCGAGGCCAATTACTCCGCACAATTTTAAGAATCCCTATTTTTTTTTTTTTTTAATGCCCTCGCACAATAACTGGGCGTGGCTTGACCCGAGTGCGTCATTACCTTTGGCTCCCCGTGATTGCACGTGCGTACGCTCGGGTGATGTTTCTTGGGAGGGCAGCGCGGCGAGGAGAGGGACGCGAAACTCCTCTCCCCGACTCCCGCGAGATTGACTGAGAGATGGAGAAGATGATACGTGTCTGATGTATGGCAGCGAAGTTGCCGGCTGACGAGCTGCAAATTTCCCGTCCCAGCGCCGCTTCTGTGTTCGGCTAATATGCTGCCGGACTCGAGTGGTGGGTGCCGCGTCGTTTTTCTTTTTATGGATAACTTTATGCTAATTGTGTGCGGGAATTTTATTTTTATAAGAGTGGCCCAAGTTTTATTTTGACGTTGCTCCAAAGTGTAAAAGTCACGGCCTGGAGCTGTTTTGAAGTTTTAATTTCTCCTCATAAAAAGTTATTGATAATATAAATCATAATTATGGGCGACTGCGCGCAAGTTTGCTTTTTCCTTTGCGCTCTCGGTGCTCTACTAATTACAGTGTATTTCATAATGTGGGAAAGTTTACGATATCAGCAGCCATAAGACGATAATATCACCGTATAAATAATAGCTTAGCAAACATGGATGGCTATCGTAATAAAGCCGAGAATAAATAAATTATGCAATTGTACATTAACAAATAAGTTTTGGAGGTAAAGTTACGAGGGGGCGGGGGGTAAATAATTGGGATAATTGCGAGCGGTAAATATCGTCTCGCCGAGTGTTTAAGCACAGTGGAGGAGAAAGACCGACGCCGATGGAGAGGATTCCGTCAATCGACGGTAGACGCCGCAACTTGAAGAACTAGCCGATGATCTACTTTTTTTTATTTTTCGCTTTTGTCTCAGAAGGGAAAGTGCTGAATTTCCAGCTCTGAAGGGTCATAAATCCGGCTGAGATTACGCGAGAATTTACAGTTGCCTTCTGCAGTCCTTCTCTAGTAGAGTGGCAAGGGCGGCGGCGCAGGCGAAGCGAGAAAGACAAAGAAAGACTCGAGCCAATAAAAATACATCACGGATTATTGCAATCCGCGTAGCTAAAAAGTTTGCTCGCGTTTACACTCAGGCGCGGGCGCTCGTGTGTGTGTGCGCGCGCGCGCGCACATGCACGCGGCACCTACATTATTATTGTCAATCGAGGAGGCGATTTTTCGAAAGCCGGAGTTTATGGACAAAAACAAAAACAAAGAGAAAAAAAGAAAAGAAAAAACAGCGGTTGCTGATGTGATTTTGATCTAACCAGCC